CATAGTGGTCTAATCTAATAACTATTACATCGTTTACAGTAGTTTCACGGTTGAATGCTATTAGAGAGACAAGGTCAAACAAGTCACTAGCCATCAAAATAATTGATTCTTTTTATAAACAACATTAGAGCACACGCGAATACTTAGGGGCAATGTTTCAGGGCAATTTATTAAGTGTAGGAATGAATGGCCGTAATTAATTGGAAAGCAAATATAAGGTTACTTAATTAGGATAACAACTAATTACCTACTTAGATTAATTTACTGAAGCTATTTTATAAACTGATGTTATTAACATTAAATGTTGGAAATTTTTGATTATAGCAGTTTAGCGGTTAAAAAAACCTAAAATGGAACTCTTGCAAATATTTTGATTTTGTAATCTAAAACGATTTGGATAGGGTTGAATTTTGTTCAAATTGTAATAGTAGCATAATACTACAAGAGGAAGAGGCTCTATTGTAAAGAAGCATGTTAAGCTTTTCAATTGGGTGAAAAAAGTTCATTAGTGAACCGCAAATTTTAATATAGGTGTAGGTTGGTTTTGCAGGTACGGTAACTGCTAACTAGGTATGGGTGGAGCTACCCGTTCGCTTTACGACGCTTTTTCAACATAAAACTATTTAAATAAGACCTCAATTAGAAATAGATTTTCATGGTAAAAATGTTTATATTTTACTATCTATCTTTCCCTGCTTAGAACAGGATAGACGGAAAATTATATTCATGGAATAAGTAAGGAAAGGCTTTAAAATAATTACAATGATTAAATTACAATAACGTACATGTTAGGGGTGCTAAGGCATGTAAAAGTAGCTATTAAAAAAATAAAAGTCCACCTACATATTATTATAGCATTGAACTGAAACCGTGAAAGTTGCAACAAAAATAGTTATTAAAAAATGGTAACGTATAGACTTAATGTTACATACAAAAAAAAAGTAAACTTTAGACTCCATCAGTCATCAGACATGTAATAATATTACTCTTAAGAACGATACAAAGATACAATTCCCTAACTATAATCATTAAGTATAAAATACAAATTACAGATCACCAAAAATAAACAAAGGCCCTGAAATATTTTAGCTTTAGACGTCATAAGTCGAAGTGACACACTTACTACTCATGGGCTTTCCAATAGCTTTTTAAGTCTATAAAATAGGTCTGCAGTACCTAGACACGGATAGTTACGGCACTCCCTTTTAACATGACCTGCCTGTATAATTCGGAGGCCAATCAATGCCAAAACAGATTCTAGGTCAAAGTAATTTTAAATGTACTTATGCCATTCGAAATTAAATTTTTATCAATTTCAATCATGATATCAGCAATTCACTTTAACTGGACAAATATATGAAGTGTGTTGTTGATAGTTTAAGGAATATCAAATAAACAAATACAGTTTATAATATTGTGTTATTAGTTTATGGGTTTGAGTTTAAAACACCTTTTTTTCTTGAACAAAATTACCTAGGTTATATCTCCTAAGTAATTGTAATCTATACTATAGTCCATTCGCGTTAAGAAAATAGTGACGCACCTTGGGTAAAGGTGTATTCAGCGTGAAGTAATAAGTAAACAATTTACATTTGTACAACTATTTATATTTTTAATGATTTTAAGTTGATTTACTTGAACATAAATATTCTTTTGGAATAACATCCGCTGACCATCTGTGGATGTAAATAAAAGATAACAATCACGGAAACCAAAATAACATCAATTTATCAACCGTTAATAGTCGAAGTCTTTTTGTATGTGTGTAATCTAACGCTTAAAGAATGATATCGTTTTGTACGAAGATGCACAGTCAACTGATCAATGTGAACTTAACTTTACAATTTTTTGGAACCTAATTTGTCAAGGAGTAGGGCTTGATCAATGGACATGGACATCTATGCGTCACTATTTTCTTAAAGCAAATATATTATAGATAGTATCTTAGTTATTAAACGACGCTTTCTTACTTGCTACTCGTATATCTGCATGTAAAAAATGTAAAAGACAATACCTTGTGTAGTGGCATAAAAATATGCTTTTGCATAGATTTCCTTTCTTCATTTAATCTGTAGTTAACGTTGTTGGGTATATATATAATTACCAAATCTTGTTATACTTAGGAAGAATTATAATATAATTGATGTTAGCTGCTTTTCGGTCCTCAAAAAAAATCGTGACACCCATAGAGATAAGAGGAGATAAGTTATATGAGAACACAATATTTAAATTCTAATTAGGGTTATTAATGTATGTTCTAAACTGTGTCAAAAATGTATATTATATTACAAAGCAAGTCCTAATCATGAACTAATAAATATTACGAACAATTTACCTGTCTAATACTATACAAAAAAAGAAACGTTCCGAATCCAGGGCACGTAGTTTATGAAATTTTCGCCTTATTGTAGACTATTGAACTCTACTTTGAGTCGTTTTTTAAAAAGTCTTTGTTCTCTGAATTTTAATAAAGGAGTCTCGTTGAAAAAGTTTATGTTTGGCAATAAACGTCCTATTGCTTGCATAATGATCTAATAATTTTTAAGCAGACAGTTTCTTGCTTTCATAGTTTTACAAGTCAAACCGTTCCTCGCCATTTTATACCCTAAATGGTCATTGCTCCTTTTTTAGTGTATTCATATATTAGCCTAACTATCATACAGAGTTTTCAAATGTTAAAAGAATTTTAATGGTTGGTCAGATGTTATTGTCCCATACCGTTGTGATTTGAAAATTCGATTAAACGACAAAGTGAAAGTGAAAGGGACAAAGAAAAATAGGATTTAGCCTGAGAGAGAATGAGATAGATTACAAGTATAGGTACAGTGTTTTCTGTAGGGTTGGAATAAAATGACAATCACATGTGATAAATCACATGATTTTAAAAATATTTCATGATCCCTGTAACTGATTTACAAAACCACTACCACTTAATTATTAAAAAAATCTAAAAAAGAAGGTCGTAATCTTTGATAGAATTTTGATTGATTTTAATTACACTTATCTTTGTCCGTGAAAAATCTTAATCACATTTAAAATCGCTGTGACTCAAACCAATAACTTCATCAAATGAATATTATTTTAAAGTAGCTATAATTTCCATCTCTAGTTTTCTGTAATCTTCGTCTATGGTATCACGTGTCTTTGCGCCTGCGTACAACGAAGCCTATAGATAATGTGTCATAAACAACGTGGTGTACCATTCACGTGTTTAATTTTTTTGCATTTGCGTATTAAAATTCTTTGGTATTTATGTTATGTTAATTATTTATCACATCTGTGTTAATTTGATCCATAATTTTTATTTACATAAATTATCTAACATTAAATGTATTTACATTAGTACATTATTTGTATTGATTTCACACACAATAATATTTGTGTGCGTAGTGTTTTTTTCTAAATAAAATATTTACATAATATTTTGACGATGTGAATATTTTTATTTATCAAAATATATTTTTTGAACTTCACTTCTGCCGTATGCGAATTGCAAACACACACTTTTTTTTAGAACTGTAACTAGTGATCGTGACTGGCCTGATGGTGTTGTGGATAAATGCCTGAGTGTAGAACTAGAGGTCGTAGGTCCGACTCCCATACAGGACAAAAAATATGTTATGAAAATATGAACTCTATCATTCGTTCTGTCTCTGAATTTATCTGTAATACTTATCTATTTAGATGCATGTAAATATGTTTATCAGCGGTCTGGTTATCATTAAGCTATGCCTAGTATGAGATCTGACAGCCGAGTGTCAGGTGTCTTAAGTTATTAAAAGAAAACACAGAGCAATAATCAGCCGGTTAATTAAACCTGTAGAAGACACAGCCGACTGGCGCCTCATAAAGACTGCGATCGCCTTTTACTACATCGCCAGACTGAATAATAAGCTAAGATCGATTGGCTTGAGCTCTGATGTTTCAACGCGTGATCAATTTAAAAATCTAAAATTAGTAGATAAACTGGTATAAACATAATCCAGTTTTCTTCGATTATGTTTATACCACTTATTTTCTTACTCTAAATCTAGTGAACAGTTTATGTTCACAAATCTCGGAGAAGAGTTACAGCTTTTTTATTAGTAATGCTTACACTATATTTTATTTCACATAGCTAATTCTGGTACAATTAATAATGATTTAATAAAAATCACATATTAGTCATATTAGAACCTACTACCATATTGGCCTTAATAAAGCTTATTTCTCCGTTTGTGGTTAATTATTGTTCTTAAGTAAATTTTCTAATTGCTACAAAAGTTAGACTTTTAGACGCAAAACTACCATATTCTTTTTTAGTGTCATACCGCCTTTAAAAGAACTATAGTTGATTTTAAGGCGTTAACACCCCTGCGTCTTTTTAGCTACGTCTTTTGAAACTAGGTATGTCAAGCAGAATCAGCAGAACAGCTCCATAAAAAGACAATATCCTGGAATTAACAAATTACTAGTTATACTTCATCTTACTACTTTATTTAAATAATTAATATTATTAAAAGTTAAATGCCTAATAAGAAATGTAACTTGGAACACTCTGTCATAAACTTATATTTTAGTATAATATTTGGGCCACAAAAGCAGTGATACTAACTCGTAAAATATTATCCAGCTCTATTTAGTTTTATTCGGATTTTGGGTACACTTTTCAGAAAAAAATCGTTTGGACAGTCTTAATTAAAATTTTTAGCCTCTCAGATATTTAAAATTTTAGTTCTTATCAATATTTGCCACTTTAATGGATTTCGAGCAGCGAGTAGGTATTGAATAAAGGGAGCTGTAGAATTAATATTATAAAGTCCATTTGTATTTTGTTACAGGAGCGGTATCTTAACGCGGCGCCATCTCGGCGCCCACCTCCACTCGCGTGCTGATGACACAATAAATTGTGATGCTGACACGAACAGGACCTTATAGGAAATTACGTCCTAGAGGACGGCGAAGGACGTTATAGCTAATTAAACTAACTTCTAATAATGCAAGTGCCTAAATTCGTTATAATGTTGGGTAACCGTCGTAACTTAATATTTAGAGTCAGCATTGTATTCAACATAGCTGTGCTATTGTACGCAGCCATGCAGTACTCTGGGAATAGCGCCCCAGGAGTCGAATGGATGCCTATTACTGTCGATGGGTCAGAACGAAGTGCAGAACTTAGGTACCTAAAAGAAGAGGCGCGAAATGAAAGTGAAACAAGATCTTTGGACCCTAACTTACGCGAAGAATCCACTTCTTTAAAAGCGGTTCCGTCGACAATGTCCACGACAAACAAAACCGCATCAAGTACCTCTATATACGCTTCTATACCGGATATCGAAAAGAAAATAAGTGCAGTGCCCTCCGAAGCAGACATAACAAACGAAACACTCGACATAGTTGATGAGAATGCTTTATCTGAGTCGACTTTGTTACGTCTCCGATCTCTGCTTGTTTGTAACGAGAGAGATTTTCTTCCTCAAACTATACAACGCGGAGAATTTTGGGTGTTAAAAAATTACGTGCGTGCTGACCATGGTACTGTGTTATGCCATGAGACGATCACTTATACGACACATGCCGGTTTCGAGTTCCTGGACAACGTACTTCCTCTAGTAGAAAGGTGAGTTTAAATTGTATTATTACTAGATTGGATTGCAATTTTAGGGAACAAATTATAGCGTCTTATTTTGTGTTGTCGTCTACAATTAGATGTGTCGTCACAGTCTACCGCTCACGATTTCTTTGGCAACGGATCGAGTCGAAATGGTGCCATAACAACCCAGACAATACCCGAATTAAATTACTACATATAACAATACCATTCCAACCATCTTTTGTTTTCCTGTACATTGACCGGCTATCAATGCCATCGCTTGCATTCAAAACGCTTAATGTGTGTTACTTGTTTGATACATAAAAGGAATATGATACAGGTCATAGGAATTAAAACGATTGTTTAAAAATAAAATAGTCTTTTACATATTAACCGATTCGGCGATTGAAACATAACGCAACATCACATTTTTAATTGGTAATTATAAGCAGATACACATTGACTCAAAATCGTAAAGTAAATAGAAGTCAAGCTTTGTTAAAGTAACAATGGTAACTTTAAGTAAACATGTTCATTTGATAACTGTAATTAGATATAACAGAACATCTTAAAATCTATTGAGCTTAAATTTATACCCGAAGCTCAACATACGAGTGGCCAAGAAAGGTTTAGATAGCCTCGTACTTAGTTCTATATTTTCCTTTCCTTGAAAACCGTTCCAATATTAATCCGTCATTTTCCTAGAAAATCCTGGCAAATGTGAATGAAAATGTTCGTTTTAAAGGCTAACTGCACTAGGGTAATTTCGATAAAGGGTAAAATGGAGTTGAGGATAATTAGGTATTCATTAATAATATAGAGAAAATAATAAAGAAAAAAAAGAAAGAGCGTTCCTAAAAGGCCGGCAACGCATTTGTGACTTGTGTTGCAGACGTTCCTGGGCTGCAATGATCACTTTCCATCAGGTAACCCGATTGCTCGTCTGCCCCCTCTAACACAAAAAATAATAATAATAAAAAAGCCGTGTGGTGTCGTGGGACACCCGATAGGAACGAAGTTGTGACGATCGAGTAAAACTGATTTGACACGATTTTAATTACAACGCCATCTATGAAAGCGGCTATTACCTACATATAAAAAACAATTAAAACAATTTATACATTGGTAAAATCTCCTTGCGAAATGATTTCCTATCTATTCGATAGATGGCGCTGAATGTCTGACAAGATGACACGAAAATAAAGAGCAAAAAGCCAACATCACGTGGTATTCCCAGGCGGTCACCCATCCAAGTACTAACCACGCCCAATGTTGCTTAACTTCGGTGATCGGACGAGAACCGGTGTATTCAACATGGTATGGACGTTGGCGAACGTTAAAGCAAATTTAATGTACGGTATCCACAGTTAGACGTCAATTTATATTAATAAAAAAGTGTCGTGACAAATTTTCGTACGAATTTTTTCCGTCTAGCCCCCTTTCACAACGCGCGATAAGGAACTTCGTTCCAATAAAGCCATAATCTAGATCCTAAAAGATGTCAAAAATTCTGAATAAAATTCAAGAACAATAATTGAGAACGATTGTAAAAGGGCAAAAAACCTTACAAAGTAATTAAGAAGATGATTTGTTATAGTTTAATCGTCTATATTTGTGGTCATGGTGTAGTGGCGGATTAAGAATACGAAGTGGCACCACCCCTATTCATCCTGCGGGTGTCGTAATAGCCGACTAAGGGAGCAAACTACGTAGAACAACAGCACTCCAAAGAGACGGAAAACTTGACACAAACCCTATACCCTACGTCTGGCCAGCGTGATATAGTAGGCCGGAGCCTATTTTCTAAGGAGAGGGCTTTGTCCACCAGTGAAATATTAAAGGCTGTTGATGTGATGTGATGTAGTCATACCGCATATAAAATATAGTGTATCTTAGAACAGGTTTTGTTTCACCGTAGCTTATCTATCTCTCTAGTTGAAATAATTTGTCGTTATTGATAATCTACGTCATAACCGCTTGATCAGTATGCTTGGTACGCTCATTTAATATTCTAACACGGACATGTATTTCCTCGGAGTATTTCATTTAATTAACTAAGTATACAAAGATACCAATAGCGAAATAAGTGCAATAGCGGATGAATACATTTTACTTTGCAATTAGCGATAACCGTTGCAATATTAAGCCGCCATTTTCCTTTATTCAAACAAACTAAGCAGATAAATAAGACCATTGTTTTAATTTGAACAGTTTTGTTGTATGCTACATTCACTGCATTGGCTGTCTATGTTACATAACTGTATGTTTTGTTGTCTTAGAGTTTAAAGTTGAATATTGCAAAATATACACATTTTAAACACTTGTGGCATCATCTGCAGAAAGCTACACAAATATGTTTATATATCATAAAGGCAGCTTGGTTTTATGTAATTTAAGTCTATACAACTTCATTATTTTGATAGTAAGTCATAAAACATTATACCGTCGATTTTATTCTACGTAATAACTAGGTATTGCCGACTCAGCTCTGAGCTCAGAGCTCAACTTGCGAAACCAAAGGAAACGTTAGAGAAGCGTCTCCACTTTATTACTCTTTAGTTTTTGCCTTGTCTGGTTTTTTAATAAATCTTTTTCTGTCGTCCTAAGAACCTGTATATATAATTGAAAATCATAACAAGCCAACTTACTCTCGCAATTTTATTATATTATAATATATAGAATCATTCCAAGTTTACGACTATGGTTTAAAAAGCTAATCTCAGGTGAATCTTGAATCAATCCCATATTCTTGTTCTATCATTGTGTAATTAAAATTAAATTCATGTCAGCCAAACACAAATTTTAATTAGGTGTTTGGTTGTCACCAGGGACTTCCTTTCTATAGTATACCTGGTTCGGTTTTAGTCGGTTCGAGTCCGACATGCCACCGACAGGTGGTATCCGAGGGGATTTCCGCACGGAAAAAAAAAGGTGTTTGGTTGTCATTGGAAAAATAGAGCTTTTGAATGAATTTAAGTTTTATTACATTATATAATCTATATTTTCCGAACTGCTAGTTCGTTCAAGATTTACTTTGCTTTTTTACAAATATGTACATAAACTAATTGTGGAACAAACAACTTATTTCATTAGATTCTGTTTGTTTTTTTAATCTTGGTTCTAAACTAAAATGTTCTGCCAATCGGACTATTATTTTTTATCAATTGCATTGCCTACGTACATTGCATTTAAAACCAAACTATACATAAAAATAGAGAAGGATTATAAACAGTGTCAACAACAAACTCTTCAGTATTTGACATACACACACATTATACTTGTGAAATGAAAGTACGTATACCTACACAATACATAATGGAGTTCAATAAGCTTATTGCAATACTCAAGCCTACCGCCTGCACAATAAAATAAAGCCATCTGTCTATCTATCATTCATCTTTCGAAATGAACTATAATTATATCTAGTGATGTAATATTCTGAATGTTCGTCATACACTATCATCCACTAGAGCTTCTATGGCTTTGAATGGAAAAATGATCAAGTCTTTGAATGTACGTCTCCGTGTCATAGTTAAAGTCATACTACATATTGGCATATCTTCCTCATAAACTTAATATTAGGTCTTTACCTATGAAATTGCCGTTTTGTATGCAATAAGTGAAAGTACTTATTTTTTCAAACTTTTTTATTTCTGTTATTCGAAGTAATGCAACCCATGCAATCAACGCATCTTTGCCAACGCATTGGCAGTTTATTGATGCCCTTCTTGTAAAAATCTGCTGGACGGGGGGCAACAAACTCTTCAAAGGCATTTTGTACTGCCTCTCGGGAATTTAATTTTTTACCCACTAAAAAGTTGTCTAAATTTTGGAAAAGTAATAGTCGGTAGGTGCAAGGTCTGGTGAGTATGGAGGATGAGGGAGAGCTTCCAACCCCAGCTTTTGCAGCTTGGAGACTGTCTGTTGCGCAGTATGGGGTCGCGCGTTGTCGTGAAGGCAGTGGGGACGACCGATTGACCAAAGCTGGTTGCAGATGTGACCACCATAAAATGAGTCAGGATTTTGGTTGCAAAAATAAAATGTATTATATTGCCCTTTATGCTTCCTACAATAAACAAAATTCTTTAGTTTCAGGTGATATAGATCCAATAGAGATACAACAACAATTACAGGGTTTATAGATTTTGGTACAGAGGTAGAAATGACTTAAATGTAGTTGATGAGAAATTCTACATAGATGTAATAGCAGACACTAGGTTGTTTTATATATATTTAATAAATTCTTTTAAAAGGCAAATATAATGAATTTATACCTATTGTGTTCGAGGGCATTGTTTGCATTCTCATATACACACAATACGTCTATATTACCACTCATTAATTTTGAGACAGCCCTACACATTTTGTATTTAGTAACAATCGAATCGAGCATGGTTGCGCCCGCGCAGTTACCTCACACGAAGCTTTGACAAACACAATGGCAAAGTTAGCTTCACAAGCCGCCATAACGAAACTATTTCTGGAACTTTATTGCAATGTTACTTTTTTAAATTACGATTGCATTTCTTAGATGCAAGTATGTTCTTACTCTACGTATAAATATTTTTTAATAATTGTTATAATATTATAATAATTTTACAAAAATATGATTAAGCTTGCATCCAAATAAAAAATCTCAAAAGTACAACAAAAGAAAAATGAAGTGTTTGTCTGGAATATGATAAAAACAGCTTTTAACTGAATGCATCTGAATATTTACCGAAAGTCAACTAGTTTTCCTGCCTGACTGTTCCACTAGTCTCTGAAACCGGTATAATACAAGCTGACGAGGCCACAATGGGCACAACTACTGGACGAAATTATAATTTTCTAAGTCTTATATTAATATAACCAAATCTCTTAAGTGAATACCAGTTATCAAAGCAGTGTTAAAGAGAAAAAGTTATGAATCAATCTTAATCTGATAATAATATTGACGAGCTTTGAGTAACAACTAGGGCATTTACCATATATTTTTATGTTCTTATAATTTTATGCTCTTGTTAAATTGCATTGCGTTACATCTT